CTCCCAAGTAGCTGGACTACAGGTGTGTACCACCATACCCGGTTCATTTTTTGATTTCTTATAGAGATGAGGTCTTGCTATGTTGCCTAATTTGCTCTTGAACTCCTACTCTCAAGCAATCATCTCACCTCCTCCCAGAGTGATGAGATTACAGATGTGGGGCACTGTACCTGGCCATAAATACCAAACTTAATAGGGCAACTGCCTTATGTGAAAAGGATCATCTGCCGGGTACGGTAGCTCATGCCTGTAATCCCAGCAGCTTGGGAGGCCGAGGCAAGAGGATTGCCTGAGCCCAAGGGTTTGAGACAAGCTTGGACAACTTGGTGAGATCTTGTCTCTACAATAAATAAAAAAATCAGCCAGGTGTGGTGGCACGTGCCTGTAGTTCCAGCTTCTTAGAAGGCTGAGGCAGAGGAATTGCCTGAGCCCAGCAGGTTGAGGCTGCGGTGGCCATGAGCGTGCCATTGCACTTGAACCTGGACAACAGTGAGACTCCAACTCAAAAATAAAAAAAAACAAAAAAGAAAAGGGACAACCCTTTAATATACCCTGAAATTTTTATTTTTGTAACTTCTAATAAAATATAAAAAATCTTGTTGTATTATAAAATTCTATATCTTCTTCTAAACAAGAAAAATTATGATGAAAAGCATAAAATGCATTTTATACCTTAACAGGAAAGTTAATGCATCTGATAACAGTGATTCTCAAATTTTCCTTACAACCCAGTATTCTTTGTAGTGACTGTGATAGAGTAAGTAATCATAATAATAGTTAAATAAATACTGATCAATAAATAATCTACTCATTTTCTTGTACATATTCTATTACTAATAAGTAGTGTGACACCCCCCCCCCCTTTTCCTTTCAATTCATTCCTGGTTAGATTAGGGCATTAGACTAGATGAAAAAGTTCTTTCAGCTCGAAAAAATCTATTATATCTTCTCTCCAAATTATTATAGTATGGAATAATCTAAAGTTTTACAAGCTAGTCTGGGAAACCCAAGCCATTCTTTTTGTTTAGGCTCTGTTAGAGAAGGAAAGCGCCCAGTTTGAACAATGTGTATGTTTCCAAGGACAAATGTGCCAGTCACCAAGAAAGTGAACTATTGGGTGCCAAGACTTTTGCTTCTGCTACTGAAAGAACAGCAGCTGGTTGCTACGTGATACAAACGAAACTCGACAACTCAGAGAGTACCCCTGACATAGCTTACTCTTGCTGTACATAACACTATAATTCAGCAAGTTATAATAACTGGGATTCAGATAGAATCTATTTCATATATCTATCTAAAATACATGTGTCTTTCTAACATCACAAAACATAGGTCAGAAAGACATCTTTTGCTGCTCTTGTCAGAAGCCGACCTGTATTATAATGATACTCAATAAATTGGTTTTAATTTTTTTTTTTTAATTTTTGAGTTGGAGTCCCACTTGTCACCCAGGCTGGAGTGCAGTGGCATACTCACAGCACCACAGCACCACAGCCTTGACCTGCTGGGGCTCAGGTGATTCTTCCGCCTCAGTCTTCCAAGTGGCTGAAGCTATAGGCACGTGCCACCATGCCTGGGTTAATTTTTTGATTTATTATGGAGAGAAGGTCTAGCCCAGTTGCCTGGGCAGTCTCAAACCCATGGGCTCAGGCAATCCCCTCATCTAGGCCTCCCAAAGTGCTGGGATTATAGGCATGAGCCACCATGACCAGCTGGTATTAATTTCTCTAGATCACTAATCTCATAGATAATCATTCTGGATATGTCTACCAAAATTATGATTTTTCCATCAGTTTCCTTTCTGGACAGCTTCAATATAAGGTTTAATAATAGTAGTTCATTTTAAACCAGTTAGGTGAAAAAAGGAGGAAAAGAAAAATACCGTGTATCACTCTATTTTGAAAAGATTCCTTGCTGTAAATATTTTAATAAACTCCCTACTGCAAATATTTTAAATACTAAAATGCTTTAAAATGTTGTAATTAAGAAGGATAAACATGGAATCATCTTTTTTTTCCTTCTCCTTCTCCCTTCCCTTTTTAAGCAATTTTATTTTCTAGTTAAATAGTTCCTAAAACTGTTCACCATGAATTATATTTTCCCACAAATCTCCAACAGACACTCCTTTGGCCTTCAGATTAAACTAGCCTTTTATTCTTCATCATTAATGAAAGGTGGGAGCTAAATAACCATTAAAGGATAAGTTATTTCATTCTTATGTTGAAACAATCTACATAAATTAATTACTTCACTATTCTAATTTTGCATACAATGAAAAGTAGCACATAGCAACGTAACACTTAAATTTTATCCATTAAAGGATTGGCTTTTTAGAGAATTCCAGACTTTGCATAAATAGCAGAAATGTTGATAGCAGATGTTTTAACTTCTGAAATTCATTCTCAAAAGACAAAAGTCATTTGCTGAGGAGGGACGGATTATTGTAGACATATGGAGGACCCCAAAAAACCTGGAATTTATTTATAAAAAATTGTATATTTATTCTTACATGTTTAAACTCCAGTCACCTTCAAAGTACTCTCGGTTCCATGTAATACACCTATTAAGATGCTTTTTCCACTGCCCAAAAGTTTTTGAATTTGTCAATTTTGATGCCTTTAAGTGCTTCTGCTGTTTTTTGTTTTACCTCTTCCACATCAGCAAAACATTTCCCTTTGAGGAATTTTTCATCCGAAACAAGGGTGAGATCAGGTGATTAGGGAGGGTGGGGCACTGAACACTTAGCATGATGTGGGCAGGCACACTTGTAAATCACTCATCATGAAATAGGCAAACGTGTTGAATGAATCTCCAAAGAAATTCACTGAAGCCAAATGCAGCCTCTCACAATGATGCCAGGGTTCCAAGAACACATACCTAGCAAGGGAAGCCTGTACTACAAGGGGTCTGCCTCCAAAAAAAATTTTTTTTTGGTTCCCCCTAGTGTAAGTAAAAGCACACTCCAACCCTCCTCTATTGTCTCCTCGTTTGCAGAATTACTTTCAAAAAATCAGGAGAGATATGTGGAAAGACAGTGCACAGAGAATCAGGCTGTTTGAATTCAGAGCCAATCTATATTCCCTTACTTCTCTTCCTACAAAGAACTATAAACAGAAAGAAGGTTGCAGATACAACATCAATTTCAGTATATCCCATAAAGAACAGGAAAATACGGAATGATAGCCAAAATATAAAGCATAACTGTGATGCAATATTAAGAAAAGGTGAATCTCTCAAAGTGTTATGCTCTAAAGTTAAGAATATCATGCAGGCAGGGCTCAGCCTGTAATCTCAGCACTATGGGAGGCCAAGGCAAGTGGATTGCCTGAGCTTGCGGGTTTGAGATCAGCCCAGGCAACTTGGTGAGACCTTGTCTCTACAATAAACCAAAAAAATTAGCCAGGCATGGCGTGCACCTGTAGTTCCAGCTACTTGGAAGGCTCAGGAGGAAGGATTGCTGAAGCCCAGCAGGTCAACACTGGGGTGGCCATGATGCACTCCAGCCTGGGCGATGGAGTGAGACTCCAACTCAATAAATAAATAAATAAATAAAGAATACCACGCAATATATCAGGCTTCCATTTTAATCCAGCACATTAAAGTCTATCATTTTTAATAGCTTTATTGAAATATAATTCAAATAATATACAACTCCCCATGTACAAAATTGGATGGTTTTTAATATATTCATAGAATTGTACAACCATCACAACAAACAATTTTAAAACCCTTTTTTGCCCCCCAAAAAGAAACCTGATATAGACTAGCAATCACTCTTATTCCCTCTTAACTCCTCACTCCTGGACCTAAGGAAACACAAATCTAGCCTGGCATGGTGGCTCATGCCTGTAATCCTAGCACTTTGGGAGGCCAAGGTGAGAGAATCACCTGAGCCCAGGGGTTTGAGACCAGCCTAGGCAACTTGGCAAGAACTTGTCTCTACAATAAATCAAAAAGTTAACTGGGCGTGGTGGTATGCGCCTATAGTTCCAGCTACTTGGAGGGCTGAGGCGGAAGGGTCGCCCAAGCCCAGCAGGTTAGGTTGCAGTGGCCATGAGTAAGCCACTGCACTCCAGCCTGGGCCACAGAGTGAGGCACCAACTCAAAAAAAAAAAAAATGGAACCACTAATCTACTTTCTGTCTCTATGGATGTACTTACTCTGGACATTTCATATAAATAGTCTGTCTCTATGGATGTACCTGCTCTGGACATTTCATATAAATAAGTCAATACATGGCCTTTTGTGACTAGCTTATTTCACTTGGCATAATTTTTTCAAGGCTCATTCATGTTCATCTAGCATATAGCAGTGATCCTCTTGCCTCAGCGTCCAAAAGTGCTGGGATTACAGGCATGACATTATACCCAGCCATTAGTGTAAGTCTTTTTTTATTACCGAATAATATTCCATTGTAAGGATGTAACATATTTTGTTTTCCATTCATCAGCTGATGAGCATCTAGGTTGCTTCTACTTTCTTTTCTGGCTATTAAGAATAATGCTGCTATGAAGATCCATGTACAAGTTCTTGGGTGAATGTGTATTTTCAATTCTCTTGGATATGTATAATTTGGAGTGGAACTGCTGGGTCATATGGTAATGAAGTCTATCATTTAATAGAGTAAATGTTTAACACAGAACAATACACTCTAAAATAAGAGTTGTGCATACTTTGTAAATGCACATTTGTCCTCTATACTATGTTTAAGTTAAATAAACCTACTTATAGCCACAAAAAAAGACAAGCTTTGTGACAGAAATCATATCTACTTTTTATTTTATTTTTCCTCTGCCTTAAGTAATTTGAGTCTATTTTTTATTTTAAAAAGATGCAGGGTTTACTAACTTGAAACATTTATATTTCATATTTATTTACAGAAAAAATACTAAATTTACTTGTTCTTACTTGTGTGTAAGAAATACTTAATTTAACATTTCTGAGAGAAGTAAACAGTAGCCATGGAACAATAAATAATGAACATTTAAAAAATTACTTACTACTGTTTCCTTGACAGGTGGAGGCTTGCTCTGCTGACTTGGAATCAGAACAAATGTCAAAGTACCATGCATATCAGACTGTAATAGAAAGATTGTGTTATTTTAAAATCTGGATTTATGAAAATCATTCTGTAATCTTATGATCAACATTCTCCAAACTGGGCTATTCTGGTATTCCTCTGAGGACTTAAAAAAAAATGGGTTAAAGATGAATCTCATTTCATCAGGAATCACAAACTATGGTTTTCACAGACCCCATTATATTAAAAGTATTCTAGAACATGGCATTCTGCAATTCTGGCCCAGTGGGGACGAAGTTAGCCCATAAGTCTTAGGTTTTTGCCTTTCATTCAGACTAAGTTTAGGAAGATTCCGTAGCGAAGGGTTGAGAGATGCCACAGTGCTATAACAATGACAGGTTTTCTATTCTGAGACACATCAATTTTAATGCAGTAGAATTTGCAAAAGTAACTATGATTGGAACTAGAAAAGCAATGCAAACATTCTCAATTTCCAGACGCACTCATCCTATTTTTTAATTATTGAGTCTTACTGCTAGGTTCACTATGATTTCCCAGTACACTACTAATTGCTTTGTTCAGATACTTCCAGCCTAGACAGTAACCATCACAACTTCTGGTACTGATACAACATGGGAACAGTGCTCAGCAGTCAATTATACAGGGACTGAAAATGATGACCAGTGGCACTTTGCTCTACCAAAGCAATGAAGGTAGTTGGATGAAAATAAGGATGTGAAGATGTTCTAGATTTAACAACAGATATTAGCAGATAGTACAGATTCTACTGTAACAATCAATGCTAGGTAAACATATAAATCTGGGCTGTGGGTGTGTACGAAGTGATCATAAGGTGCCTTCAAAAGATATCTATGAATGACTTCCTGATTACACTAGCATTATTCAATAGAACTTTCTGCAATGATGAAAATGTGCTATATCTATTCTTAATATAGTAGCCATTGGTTACATATTGCTCTTTAGCACTTGAAATGCAGCCAGTGTGAATGAGAAACTGAGTTTTAAATGTAACTTAAGTAGAAACAGCTACATGAAGCTAGTGGCTATTACAGTACATATGCAGGCCTATAGCACTGCTATTAATATTATCTATTATCAGGAAAACGATCAATTGCAGATAATAAGAAAATAAAATGAACATGAAAACCATAAGGACCTGGACTTTGTCTTGTACTGTTTTCCCAGTGGCTAGCATATAGTCAGCACTCAATAAATACTTACTGAATGAATTAATGAGTTAAATTATTACTGATATCAGAAGAAGTAAAATATACCAGACAGCAATAAAGTAGAAAGTAAAACAAAACAAAAAAAAGTCAGTGGTACCTGCCCCAAAGAAATACTGTGGAACACTCACATCATGGGGAAAATAGGACAGAAACTGTCTAGCGTTCTTAATAGTTATTTTTAAAAGTTTTAAAAATATTTCATTCTATAGTCTTAATAATTGATAGCTTTTTAATATTTAAATTTATTTAAATATTTATTTAAATATTTAAAAGCTATCAATTATACCTGTCAACTTACCAACAAGTCAAAAACCTCATTGACATCTTTCCCCCGAATTTCAATGCCATTAATCTCCAGAACTTCATCTCCTTCATGTAATAAACCACTTTTTTCGGCAGCACCTCCTTTTACTATTCGGCTAATGATGACAGAATCCATCTCATTACGAACTGTAGCACCCTTAAAAAAAAACAACATCTAATTTAAATATAAAAATGCAATTTTTTAATTATACATTTCTTCATTTTTAAATTCTATTTTTTTTTCTATTCAACAATACTAAGTCTCAGGTATCTTGAGGAAAAATTTACTTAGATAGAATAATATTTGTAATTAGATTTGCGAGCTTATCATTTCCCTCAGATTTTCTGCTTCAGAAACCACTTTATTCCTATAACCAAACTATTTTCCATATGCTGGATACTACTCAAATGGTTACACTACACATTTAAGTGTGATTAGTGAGCATGACTTAAAAACTGCAAAACGAATATTAACATTAAGATATGTGACCAGGCCAGGCGCAGTGGCTCAAGCCTGTAATCCCAGCACTTTCGGAGGCTAAGGCAAGAAGACTGCCTGAGTCCAGGGCTTCGAGACCAGCCTGAGGAACTTGGTGAGACCTCGTCTCTACAATAAATCAAAAAATTAGTTGGGCATGGTGGCATGTGCCTGTAGTTCCAGCTACTTGGAAGGCTGAGATGGAAGGCTCTCTTGAGCCCAGCAGGTAGAGGATTTGGTGGTTGTAAGCATGCCATTGTACTCCAGCCTAGGTGACAGAGTGAGACCCCAATTCAGA